CTCGTATTAACATGTTTTATTACGCTCTTATAACAACCTGATCACTCTATTAACATGTTTTATTACGCTCTTATAACAACCTGATCACATGCATTAACATGTCAGTTTGTTTTCTTGTAGGGTTTGAGGAAGTGGTCTGAGGTTAAAGGTATTTTTGAACGTCTGGGATCAAAGTCGGGTTAAGATTAGGGGCTAACAGACCACTCTCAAACAAATGAATTTTTTGACATTTATAAAAAAACATCTGTGTTGAAGCAGAAACCAAAGAGGCTGGCAGGCAGATGTTTTTGTTCCCATGAACGCGTGCGTCGTAACTAAAACCGTAAAAGGACAAACCGACTTGAAGCTACGGCTTGTAAAACTTTACAAACACTGGAGATAAACCGAATACACAATCACCATTACCCAACTTTATTGTTTCTGTTTTTAATCTCGCGTAGAAGTTTTCATTTAAACTTCGACCCTCTCTTGGTGCTTCACGACCCGCGGTGGGGTCCCCGGACCTCACTTTGAAAACCGCTGCTTCTGCTCGCTTTAACGTGGGCGTGCGCAGTTTTAATTTGTTGCTACGGTGTGCGCAGTATTAAACTTTTTAAAAAAAAGAAACGAAGTTCCCGGCTCAAATAGTTTTGCTGACCGTGAGAAGAGTTTGATGTGAGGGAGCGTGCGCCACCGCGGCAGCGCGTCACGTGACCCCTCTGTCTGCTGCTGGCCGAGCGAAGCGCGTTAGCAGGTAATAAAAACACATTGTCCTCCCCCGCTTCAACTTTACTCTGAGCATCTTACAACCGCCAGACGCTGTAAATGATGTCGAGGCGCAGGTCTTGGCTCGCTCGCTCCGGGTTTTGAGAGATGTCCTGGCATTCCCCCCTCTTCCCGGCGAAGCAATGTCGGGGATGATTGTTCGCTGCGAGGCCTTTCCCCCTCATATTCGATGCACCTTTGTTGTTAGCGGACTAGCTTTTAGCTTAGACGTCAGTGAGGCGTTCAAAGACACCGAGCCTGGCGTTAAACTACCGCTAACGTGTAAAAACTGATTACAGGGAGTTTGATAGCCGTCGGCTGTCAACTTGGACCAGATTTAGGTAGCATCGATTGTTCAGTCAGCAGTAGCATCACGGCTAACTTCATGCTAGCAGGGACAAAGCCAGGGGACGCTAGTTTTAACAACACAAGTCCGTGTCGAAACTATGCAAAGATACATCGAAATAGTCGTGTGTTTGAAGCAAAATCACGTATCCGGACTCTTAAAATGACTAATGACAACAACAGGCTAACGTTATGCTGATTACAAACACTCCGCTTCCTTTATACCAAAGTAATAAAAGTGTAATATCTCGTTCAGTCCGCCTAAAACAGTGAAATGCCACTAAACTATAACACAGTATACAGTTTAGCTTATATTCATTTTTATCTTATTTTTCTCCAAATAAAGCAGCTCAGATTTTAATGACCTTTTAAATTGCTGCTTGTTGACTCGTTTAGTGTTTAATTATCAGAACATAAATGTGATTGATTACAGTCTCTGTGATAGAAGAGTGTTTTTCAGCTCTTTGGTTCTATTTAAAGCTTTTTGGTGTTGTAGCTTTGTTCAGCTGCTCAGCCAATCAGAGCCCAGTATTTGTCTACGTCATCAGGCCCACAAAGCTGCACGGCCATTGTTCTCTGACAGCAGTACAACATATGGATCTGTGGGGATGGCTAAACTTATTTTGTGCAATTAATTTAGCATTAGAACTGTCATTATTTTGTAGGTTAATTAAGCTTAGTGTGTTTTATTAGGGTTCTGAATTATTCACTTTTAAGATGAGCTATTTGTAATAAAGCGTGACAACTACTTTGTGGTTCATCTTTTCACCGATGCAAGTTTGTGTTTTTCAGGGATTTGAGGCCAACTTTACAAGTATAGAATTTGATTTTAGTACTTTCTAGGTCTGACTTAGTATGTAAATAAGAAACCGGAGTGTGCAGAGATCGAGTGAGTACTTTTAAAACCGAGGCTGACATTTAGAAATCATAGCTGATGGCCAAAATATGTATTTTTCATTTAGCAAAATACAACAAGAATTGCCTAATTGAAATAAAAATATAGTTAATAACCGTCAGATGAACTTGTACACATACAAATAATATATAAAGAGTATTCTGGCTTAAAAAAATAATTGTGAGCTACACTGAGATGGTTGCAGCAGCTGCCGCTGCATGTTTATTTTCCTACTTGGTAATTTAGTGTGTTCAAGCTTAGTTGATTGCCTTTTTGTTTAAAGTGGCCAATATCAGCTGATCAAGTGGTTTGTCTCTTTGGAGTGGCTGTGGCTGAGTGATTAGAGCAGTCGTTCTCCAATGCAAGAGTTGGGGGTTTGAATCCAACAGCAGTCACATGCCGAAGTGTCCCTGTGCAAGACACTGAACCCCTCATAGCCTCGGATGTGTGTCCCATCAGTGTATGAAAATCTGAAGTGTTTTCACACTTCATTACTCACTGTAAAACATAAAAACATGTAGAAGTTGCTGAAATGTCTTGATTATGTACAAAGAATGAACATAGCTGCAACAGTTTCTCCCTCTTTTTTCCTCAAGGATTTCCAGCTTCCAGAAATTAAAATAGGGAACAGGTCATTCTTTATGGGACCGTACAACCTATCTTTATTACCGGTATTTATAACCTCATCAATGACAATGGTTTAATCATGTTTCAATGGTTTTAATAAATAAAAAAACTAATCATTTAGCTGATAAGCATGCATTAAATCTTAGAAAATAAAATAATAATCTTAATTTAGTGAGTTTGCTTGTTGGAGTGGTAGGAATTTGTATGAATTCTGGTCCAAAATGTTTTGGTCTAGGTTAAAAACCTAGAAAAAAAAAACTTTTGTAATTGATAGAGAGAAAAACACATCGTCTAATAATTTTATATAAGCAAACATATAATATAGAGAGCCCCTCTGTATAACCTCAGTAAATTACAGTAAATCTGAAAGTGAAGCATCAGAAATGTCCTTAAAATTGACAGTGTGGAAGAGTGGAGTTTCCTGGTTTTTAGGGTTGAATGGCTGTCTTTATCTAGGACAGGGTGGGGTATGGGGGTCGGGTTAATTCTTCTTCCCACACTAGTGTGTGCTGTTTGTAAGGGGACACTGGGTTGCTCTTCATCCTTGACCCAGATTTTCTGCAAAGCTGTTGCATCACCAGGCCAACTGTGCGTCTTGCAGCCTCCACAAGACCACTATTCATTGGCAGAGAAGCTTCACTGTGTCGAGCTCCTAATTAGTTTTCGGCTCCTACACGAGGAAACATGTCTCTGTCCTAAACACGGTTGTGTGCATTATTAATGCAAACGCTGATAACTTTGCCTGCTGTGTCTTTTGCAGGTTTTTTTTTCTATTTTGTACATACAGAGTTTTGTATATACTGTATATGATGAGCTCGCTGGGCAGCGACAAGGCCCGGGGTCCTCGGGAAAAAGCGCTGCCAGCTGCCACTCAAACATCACAACCACAGAAGCAAATCCAGGTGAGCTACCGAACCACTTAAAGGCACTCACTGCAAACTATAAAATCAAACATAAAGAGTATCGTGAACAGTCTCAAATGGTGCTGTTTGAGTTTACTTCAGTAGTTTTCCAGATGCATTGAAACGTATATAAACGATGCACTCGGCTGAATTGACTAAAACATTGGAGTTGCTTGAGTCGTGGTTGATTTACATTCAAACGGCCATATTCTGCTCAGCGAAACAAATACTGGTGGAACTGGACCAATGTAGAATCTCAGAGAAGATGTTTAGGTATAAATATAAAGTGAAGCTAAAAAAAATAGAAAAGTAAAACAGCTGAGGATCAAGTAGGGCAGTGGAGCGCCACAAAGACAGAGCTGCAAACACTGCCTTTTGTAAAACGCCTGCTAGACCGCTAACTTTATAGTTTCAACATTTTTTTATTCATTTTAGTGCGACTTTAAAAATGTTTATACCTCGAGTCTTAACGTATCTCCAGTTTGTGACATGATACGTTTGACTCAACAAATCCGAGTACGAGTACAAAGTACATCAAAACTGTCAGACTCCTCGATCCCAAACAGTTATGATGGCTGACAGTGTTGATCCATTTTCAGTCACTTCGGCTGTTTTCGCAGGTAAACAAATGCTTATTGTCATTTTAATTTGGTTACAAAATGTCCTTCTGTTTTTTTAAATGAACAGACACATTATTCATTATGAGAATAAACAATGTGTAGATTTTTTTTTCTTAGTTTTATTAATTTTTTTGGACCAGCTGTCTGGACACACTTCTCTGAACGGTGCCTTAAGTTAACTCGGAACACAGACACGTGGCTAACTTTGAGAAAACCAAAACAAAATGGACACATCATGCATTCCTTTAAGCTATGACACTGAAACCTAGTCATTATCTACATCCCCTTTTTAAAGTCTAATTGTATCAAATGTACAGGCTACTGCTGAGCAGATCCGTCTTGCTCAGATGATCTATGACAAGAATGATGCTGACTTTGAGGACAAAGTTAACCAGGTGATGAACACTTTGACGTTTGCATGACAGCTGACTGCTCTCATATTTGCCACGTACTCTTTTGTTTTAAAAATGATCTGTGTTTTTAACGTCTCGGTCACCGTTAGGCATGCTCATTATCTGCTCTTGTTGCGTTCTCCAGCTGATGGAGGTGACCGGGAAGAATCAGGACGAGTGCATGGTAGCGCTTCATGACTGTAATGAGGACGTTAGCAGAGCCATCAATTTCCTCCTGGAGAGCACCTCAGATATGGTAAACGTTTTATTTAGGTTCCCTTCAATAAATAATATGAATATGTCATTTTAATGACAACTATTATATTTATATAATTCATTTTAAACATAGTAAAACATAAGATAAACATTGTATTTCTTTTGATTCATCCTTTGTGTGTAGACCTCGTGGGAAACGGTGGGGAAGAAGAAGCCCCTGGTGAAGGAGGGCCCGTCGGAGAGCAAGGAGAACAAGGAGAATAGGGAGAAGAAAGGAGAGAGGGAGGTCAGCAAGGGTCGTGCCTCTGCCAACCGCAAAGGCAAGGGGCCCAGTCGGAGGGGACAAGGTGAGAAGCCTGAGCTTAACATGAATTAAAAGCTTGCCCTCTTCCATCCACTTACTGATGTTGTTTGTACATGAATCCATGCACAAACAGCACGCCCAGAGGAGAACGGTGTGGAGGCAGCACCAGTGGACAAAGGTTCAGATCGAGGTCGGAGGGTCAAAGGTAGCAGAGGTTAGTAAATGGCCGACTCTGTCAGTATGGAAGTGCTTGAGTTTATTTTTCTGACGTGAGTGTGGATGTTAACCAGGATCTGGAGTTAGGGGTCGAGGAAGAGCGCCGACTGGGAGCAGGTTCTCAGCCCAGGGCATGGGGTAAGATGTCAGCACGCATCTTCACTCAGAAATTAAGGGTTACTTTTTATTCAAAAAACAAACAACTTTTGAATGTTATTTTCACGGTAAATGCATGTTATACTTTTGTAAGTAACTTAGGACTAGCAATGTCCCGACATTAATGCTGGCATCAGTCTCAGGCCCAATACCAGTTTCATGTACTTGTACTCATAAAAACAAACCCATACTTCAAACCGTTACCACTTTTATGCTTGTTGATGTCACTTCCTGTTTCACTGCAAATACCAGAGGTGAAAAAATAAAATATGTCAGTAGTTTGAAGAGATTTTATATATATTATATATTGTTATATAGATGTTATATATTTTATATATATGTATGTAGTACATATATATATATATATATATATATATATATATATATATACAAACTTTAATGAAGAATCCCTTAAAATGACCTGTTACGGACCTGGACTTGATTTGTCAATCACTGATGGTTGTCATAGATGGTTGCTCCTCTTTTAATGAGATCATTTAAGTGTTAAACTCAGATTTGGGGGTAAAAAGCTTCATATATTGACGTTTACCTCGGCTTGACTTTCTTCACCAGGACTTTCAACCCTGCTGATTATACCTCAGAGGCTGGAACTGGGACCACACAAGCAGAGGTTTGTGACACCGTGAACAGCAACAGCACAGATGGAACAGGTGAGCTCTGGACAGCACATACTCCCCTGATACTGGATGAAGTTGTGGGGGAACAGATTGGATGACACTGTGTGCACCCTCTTGTTACTTTTAACTTGTCTTCTAGTTGCCTGGAGGAATACGTCGGAGGACTGGGCAGCAGAGGAGTGGAGTGAGGATGTCAGTGTGAGTCAGTCTAGTACAACACGTCATTTATTTAGCTACATGTTTACGTTCTTGGTCTCATTATTTTACCTCGTGTGTTTTTATGCAGCTCTCAGAAACTAAAGTCTTCACTCCCTCATGTGCACCGGCTGCTGAGAACCATATCGCACCTGGGCAAAGGTAATGTTTTCTCCATAAAGTGCAAGTATATTGATATGTAAATATTGTACACACTAATCTAGGTTCTGCAGGCTCTGTGCTGCACAAGATTCATATTTGGTTCTGGGATCATTTTCTAATCAACTTTAATGGCTGCTTTGTGTGTTAGTTTGGACCTCGCCTCTTTGCTGCAGAAGCCTGGTGTTGGAGGAAGAGAGCCACCTTCCTCCACTTCCACGCAGAGTCTGGTCTTCACCAACTCCCACCATAACCAGCAGCCACCCCCGAGCCGCAGCACGACGGGCAGCACAAGCTACGCACATGCTGCTCTGGTAAAAACAGCACTCGCATGCTTTTTGTTCCTTTACTGGCCACTCGGTGCAGATAAAGTCAGAGGCTAATACCTTCACACACTCTCTCACACCAGTCATCAGTTCTGGGAGCTGGTTTTGGGGATTTGGGCCAGGCCAAGAGGACTCAGCCCAGCGCTGGAGCTCAGATACTGGAACAGCTTAAGGGTCCCGGCTTGGGCCAGCTGCCCTCGTCACAGGCTGCTCCTCCTGTCAGCACCCAAGGAAGCAACACCTCCATCGGTCGACTGCCAGGTTTGGGAGCACCTGCACCTCCACCCTCCTCCTCCAGCTGGGACATGAAGGCTTCTGAATCCAACACCACCTCTCTGTCGTCACAGTTCAGCCGTAAGTTCATCAGTATCTGTGCAGTCTTGTTTGAATGTACGTGAGCGACATGTATGTAATTATTGCGTGTCTGTGTTTTGTTGTGTGTTTGCAGGTGAGTTTGGCCTGCAGCCAGAGCCTTCTCTTGTGCTGAGCCAGCTGGTTCAGAGACACTCTGGCCCCTCCTTGCCTCTGGCACGTCAGCCCAGTCCTCCATCTCAACAACAAGCACTCCCTGCTTCAGCGTCGTCTGCGCCCCAACACATCAGCTCGCCAGCACAGGCTGGCCTGGTTCTGGCTGCTGCTGGTGCTAAACCTGCTGCTCCCAGTGCAGGGCTGGACCCTCAGGGCAGCAGCACGCCACAGCAACAACGAGTGCAGCTCAAAGGCCCCAAACGACGAATACCTCCCACATCTAAAGTAAAGAATAGATGCTGACAAAGTTACTTGTTAGATGTTCTGCTATTTATAAAAAAACAAATGTCTCCTTTCTTGTAGATTCCCTCCACAGCTGTGGAGATGCCGGGCTCAGCGGACGTTCCTGGACTAAACCTCCAGTTTGGAGCTCTGGACTTTGGCTCAGAGTCAGCACTGCCAGAGTTCGGAGTTGTGGACAGTTGTTCGGGTGTGGTGTCCCGGGAGTCCACACCTGCACCTGCGTCGGCACCACCTCCATCGGGACCTGGGACCCAGAGCCACACGAGTCTGTACCCAAAACCTCTCAGGTAAGGCTACCACCCATGACTAGCTCCATCGTAAAGAAGTCAAAAACCTGTAAAGGACGAAAGACGTAATCCACGTTTCATCAAGTGGCTCAGAATCTAAAGTGGTAGCAGCACATGTGAAGAAATAAATTAACTGTATGTATTTGGACTGATGTGTTTGTTTATTTAAGTCGGTGTGAGAAACTACATTTCAGCGTGATTTTCATTCACTTGGGTTTAAAGTCCGTTTTTTTGAATTGCTGATAGATTACACTGCTCAGAGCAGTTGTTTTGTAACCACTGCATGATAAATTATTGATAAAACGTCGCTACATTGCAGCTTCTTTCCCTGTCAGTTTGTGTTGGTTTGCTTGTTTTCATGTGTAGCATTATTTGCTGGAGAGCTGCCAGATCTTTTTCTGTATTTTAAAGCTTTCTGTATCATCGTTGTGCATTTGTTGCCTGTAGAAAGCCCAAAGAATCCAACAAAAAGACAAAAGGCAGAGATGAAGACGTTTAAATTTTCATTTAGAGTCTCCAAAATGGACAGAGTTAGAAATTAGTAGACAACTCAGATCGAGTGATTTGGAGACAGAGTTAGAGGCGAGGCTGAGATGTTTTGGACATTGCAGAGGAGGGACAGGTGGATATATTGGACAAAGGATGTTGAGCCAGCAGGGAGGACGAAAAGAGGAAGACCACAGAGAAGCTGCTTGGATGTGGATATGTCGAGGATTGGTGTGACAGATGAGGATGCTGCATTAGTTGAGAGGGTGGCCGATCTGTGGTGATGACGCCCAAACGAAGCAGCTGAAAGAAGAAGGTAAAATAAACCCAGTGTTTGATGAATAGCTTCTTTTCCTGTAACAGGAACAACAAATGACTGACGGCTCGTGCAGCCTTTAGTCCTCACTTCTCCTTTGCTGCCACGTGTGTGGTGACACACACACAAACAATTGAAAAGTTTAGGCTGCTGTAAATAACTGCAGAATTGAAGGTTTTAAGCTGATATTGTTTAATTTATTTTCTTTTTTATTTACTCAGTAAAAACAGTCGACTCTAACACCGGCTCTTTGACACGTTGTAGGTTTTGTCTTCTCCTTTCTCATGATCTGATTCTTGCTGTGAACATCTGGCTTCTCTGGTGTTTTGTAGCGAGTCACTGAGCAGCGCTCTCTCCGTGGCTCTGCCTTCGCCCCTCACCTCTTCAGAACCGGCATATCACTCGTCCACCGTGGCCATGCCCAGCCTCACGCCATCAGTGGGTTCAGTCGGCTCCACGAACGCTCCATCCTCCACTTTAACGACGTCGACGACCTCCTCCTCCGCACCGTCCTCCTCTCCCTTCTCCTCAGTCGGAGGGAGTTACGAAGGGACAATGCCCCCTCACACGCGACTGGCCTTTTCTCAGAGCAAAGAGGCCACAGGACCAGTGATGGTGAGCAAAAATTAATGTTCATTTCCTCTAAAAATAGAATTTTAAGTCAAACAAAGAGAAAACGTGAAGTCTGAGATTGTCATCGTATGTTCCCATACAATGATGAAATTAGTTCTCTGCATTTACACCTGAGATACACCCATGTGGAGCAGTGGACAGCTATGCAAGCACCCGGGGTCAGTTAGGGATTGGGTGTCTGGCACAGAAACACCATGACGTGGGAATGGCCGGGAGTCGAACCGCGACTGGTCCCAAGATGGCTGCTCTACCTCTACCCCATCTTGGCCCCATAAAACCTATTAGTTTAGTTTTTTTATGGGGCAAACAGTTTGCTGCATTATAATCACTCTGTTTTTAATAAATTATTATATATATATATGTATTAATAATATTAAATTAAATTCAATTCAAAAATACTTTATTAATCCCAAAGGGAAATTTAGTGTTGTCGTAGCTCATCATCCTGGTTTCATTCAAGAGTTGTTATAGATGCTGATAGCTGTGAGCAGGAAGGAGCTCCTGCAACGAATCTGAAGAATCCGGCCACAGATACTGATCTGTCCACCCAGATCCAGCTTGCTGTCAGATCCGGCGGGCCTCTCAGTCCTCCTGGGGAGCAGGACTGCCTGAATGCCTGACAGAATTCCTCCCTGAACGATGGTCACTCCTCCCAGCAGTCTGCCGAGCCCCTCGTCACCACGGACAGACAGACGAAGGCGCTGGGGATGTTCCTCCCATTGTCACGAGCCGAGTTACCCACCAGCTCCAAGATCTTGGCGGTCAGGCACTTGAGCACCGCAGCCAGGTTGACGGGAATTTGTCCATGGCGCCTCCTTTTCAACATATTTGGGATTTTGGACTGTACAAATACAAATACAAATAAAAATACAAAATATAAATACAAATACAGTTCTTTACTTTTCCTCATGGCTGCTGACACTGGTTCCCCCTCCCTTCTTGTTCTCCTTGACCTCACTGCAGCTTTCGACACTGTGGACCATAGTATCCTCCTCCACCGTCTTCATGTGGAGGTCGGTCTCTGTGACACTGTCCTGGACTGGTTTAAATCTTTCCTCTCCAATAGGCTGGAATGTGTTAGTCTTGGCAATGCCAAGTCCCAGACTGTCTGTGTCTCCTGTGGTGTCCCTCAAGGGTCAGTTTTAGGGCCCCTGCTATTTTCCCTTTACATGTTGCCTTTAGGTCAAATTATTAATCAGTACAACATTTCTTTTCACTGTTATGCCGACGATACACAGCTTTACATCAGGACCGGAGCATCATCTTCACCACTGTCATCTCCATCTTCACTCGCTGCCCTCTCTACCTGCCTGGAGGAGATAAGGGCATGGATGAATCAGAACTTTCTTCAGTTAAACTGCTCCAAAACAGAGGCCATACTGATTGGCACCCCTCACCAGGTTCAAACTTCAACTATAACGACTATTTCATTTTCCGGACAAGACATCCCCCTCTCCACCACCTCTGTTACAAATCTTGGAATAAAAATGGACTCTTATCTTACATTTGAAAATCACATTAAGCATCTGTTTAAAACCTGTTTCTTCCATCTTCGAAATATCTCCAAACTGCGCCCATCTCTCACTTTTGCTGATGCAGAGAAACTTGTCCATGCTTTTGTCTCCTCCAGGCTCGACTACTGCAACTCCCTGTTTACTGGAATACCCGGCAAAAACCTTCAGAAGCTTCAATATATTCAAAACAGCGCAGCCAGGATTTTATTGAGAGCTCGTAAATTTGAACATATTACACCCATTCTCCATAACCTCCATTGGCTTCCTGTCACCTACAGAATTCAGTACAAAATTGCTCTCATTACCCATCAGTGTTTATATGGAAATTCACCAGATTATCTGAAGGACCTTCTTGCTCCATATTCATCCACCCGGTCCCTACGATCACAGAACAGTAATCTCCTCCACCTGCCACGAACTAAATTAAGAACCATGGGAGATCGGGCATTCTGTGTGGCTGCCCCACGCCTCTGGAACTCCCTCCCTGAATATCTGAGAGCTCCACAATCATTGACTGACTTTAAAAAAGGCTTAAAGACTTTTCTTTTTAAGCAAGCCTATTCTGCCTCCACATGATTGTATCATTGATTTTAGTTGTTTGTATCATTGATTTTAGTTGATTTTATCACAGATTTTAGTTGATTTTATCACAGATTTTAGTTGATTGTATCATTGATTTTAGTTGATTTTTATCACAGATTTTAGTTGATTTTATCATTGATTTTAGTTGCACTCTGTAGCACTTTGAGATTTTTGTTAATGAAAAGTGCGTTACAAATTAAATTCATTATTATTATTATTCTTTAGTCATTAGCTGTACTGTATTTACACTCTAATAACTAGTGTGAGCAGATCTTCCACCAAAGCAGATCTTAAACCGACACTAGTCTTCAAAATGTATTAATAGTTGATGTGAACCTCTGTTATTTAAAGCTTCACACCTCCATCAGTAAGTAACCTGTGATGGACTTCCAAACCGTCCAGGGTGTACCCTGCCTCTCACACAGTGATCACTGGAGATAGGCACCCACTACTCTGCACTGATGCATGGATGTCTCGTCATCAGTTTTGTTGATACCGTAGATGTTTGAGCATAAATGTTATAATATTACTGCTGGAAGTGCCCCCTGGATGCTCCAGCTCGTTTATATTTGTGTCAGTTTATAAAACACCACATGCACTGAACGACTAAGAGATATTTGACTCTGGAGCTGTTTTAAGATGATAGCGATCCACTTTGGCCTTTGCTGCAGTCGCAATAGTCATTGTCTTATCAGTTCTGTTAGACATATATATACATGTTAGACACTTCCTTCAAAGTGAGGTTGTGAAAGATTTATCTATGGCAGATAAGATATTATTTACTTCTATTTATCCTTCAAAATGGTGGAACTGTCCCTTTAAGACTAGTCAAATTAAAGCTCAGTGAATTTAACTTACCTAAATCTCTTTTTCCTTCCATACGTACAGGTTATTAATGAACTGACTCGGGTGTTTTTTCTTTTCATCAGAACGGTCTGAACGGTGTCAGAACCTCTGCTGCTCTAGACAGTAAGTCTCACGATCGTTTATATTTCACACTCACAGATAAGCTGCTCATTAGCAATGGGAACAGCTGTACTCCCATGATGCTTTACATCTTAATAGTAAAATATAAATCAAATTTTTATTTTTTTTGTCAGATAGGATGCTTAAAGTCAGTTATAAGTTCTTTTAACTCTTTCTTCTCAGCGTCGTCAGTTTCTTCCACGCCAAAGCCCGAGCCATCGTCTGTGAACATCAACACCAACGGTCCTTCAGCCCCCTCCTCCCACCTCCCCTCCTCGCTGCCGACACACAACTCCACCACGCTCTCCAACCTGGCACAGGACCTGCAATCAACGAGTCAACTCAACTCACTCAACAGGTCAGTCTGGTCTTTCTTGAAATATCTGTGTCGAAAAAATGGTGCTGTTTACCAGATAGACTGAACTCATCTGACTGCTTGCTGCCTGATACTGTACAGTGTGAATGAGTGGTGCCTTGTAGGGCTGGGCGATATGGGCCAAAATTAATATCTAAATATTTTAAGAAAAATGGCGATATACGATATATATCACAATATTTAGTTCTTTCCATAAAGTAATAACAAAAATATATTTGAGTCAAAGCTTTGTCCCAATTGTCACACAGGCACATATATTAACAACAGCTGTAACTGTACAAAATAAATGCCTAAAAAATAAACTATTTGCATAGTTTATTTTTTAGACATTTATTTACATATATTAAATAACAATCCTCTTCAGCTGCGCCGCCTTCACAATGTTAGTAAGCATGTGTTAAACATCAGCTGCAGCTCTAACTGTGTTTTCAGCCTCCTTCCCTGAAACAAGCCACAGGTCAGAAATCATTTAGCCGTGCTGTGCCTTATGGGAAGAACAGTGAGAGCGCAATATTGATAAATCAGCAGCTTATATCGCTAAAGACATGGTCCCAGTCTCAGCTGTGGAACAAGACGGCTAAAGCATTAACCATCTTGTTAGCCGCTAAGGACCATGTCTTTAGTGATATGATAAGCCACGGCTTATCATATCACTTCGCGGTTCGTTTATCGCGGACTCGCTCTATCACGGTTTTTCAAAATAAGATTGGTCATGACACAAAATTGGCTGATTGATGGATGAGCCGCACGATCAGCATGGAATTTTTATTTAAAATAAATTATATGGGGGCCGAGATGGTGTAGAGGCAGGGCAGCCGGCTTGGGACCCGAAAGTCCCAGGTTCGATCCCCAGTCACTGCACATCACGTGGCGTCTCTGGGCAGCACGTCTCATCCCCAAAATGTCCCCCGGGCGCTTTCAATAGCTGCCCACTGCACCACCTGGTGGTGGATGGGTTAAATGCAGAGACTAATTTTGCCATTGTATGGAAACATACAGTGCTGACATTGTGATGACATTATTATTATTATTATTATAAATTATTTAGCAGCCCAGAGCTGCAGAAAAAACTTTATAGTCTCATCTTATATCGCAAAAAAAAAATTATCTCGATATTTTTATTGAGACGTCGCCCAGCTCTACCTTGTAGTAATGGGGAGGAAAAGGTAGTTCTAGAAACCGTAAGGCTCAGAAAGTTTGGTGCCTTTTCCTATATTTGCTAATATTTCCCTTTTTTCTTCACCCTACAGTCACGGCAGCAGCCATTCCTCAGTTTCAGCTCTGGGATCAAGTTCTCTCACTGTAAGTTTTGGTTCAGTGTCCCATCGATGTGATGGTAATGGATGTATATCATATTATTTAGTGCAAAAATACACATGATTTCAGCACTACTCGTTCTATTTTTTAACAAAGTGTTTTTATATCCTGATGCATGCTCAATAATCCAGGTAGAAAAATCCAAAAAAGTTCAATCTGGTCCATAGGACATTCAGACATTCAGCAGTAGAACATGTTCCCTCTGAGGCTGTAGATGATGCTTGTTGCACACACAGATACCTGGTTGTCAGTTTGACAGCACTGACATATTGTCCCTCACATTCCACCAGCAGGTCACTGGATTCACTGAGGTTAGGGTTGATGGCAGACTTCTATACCTCTGTGTCTCTTCCTGAATCTTCTCTGGTTCTCTGGGGTTTAGGGCTCTGATCATCTCCCTAATTGACATGGGAACACAAAACATCAACATTAACATGGTTGTGTTATTATTGCTCAAAAAACATTATCTAGGCTGAGAGATAAAAGCTTAACTGTCACCAATATCCTTTAAAGTTTACTTATGCCGGGGTGTGTGAATCCTTCCAATTTCACAAAATTAGCCTCTTTTTCCAGAAGAGAGCCAAAAATCACTTCCTTCATGCATTTGCTGAAGTACGTATCCACAGGGACCACCCCGACCAGTGAGATGAGTGGTGATGGGTGTACAGTTTTAACACATATCCCAGAGAAGGTGTCAAAAATACAAGATTGCCAAAAAGTCTGCAGTTTGGGACAGGTCCAGAATGTATGCAAGAGTGTTGCTGGAGTTTGTTTACAATGATTGCATGTGGGGTCCAGGTTGGCTTTGATCTTGGACAGCTTGTCTTTGGACCAGTGCACCACCTTGAATTGGATTACAGCATGTCTCAGGCATATTGATGATATGTAAATGTTCTTAATGATCCTTCTCCAGATTGAGTCTGATATGGATTCCTCCAAGTCTGCTTCCCATTTCAGTTTAAGGGAGTCCAAACTGGACTCATGGTATGAACTGAGCAGTGTATAAATGTTGCTGAGGGCCCCCTTCGTATCAGACCTGCACTCCAAAATCTTAGCCACAAAATGTTTAGAGGGGTACAAAGGAAAACAATCAAAGTTAGATCTCATAAAGCTACAGATATCTTAAAATGTGACTTATGAATTATTAAACTTTTGTACCAGCTGTTCAAAAGAGGCAAATCTACCATCAGCACTAATCGTTCTAACAAGCAGCAAACTTGCACAAGTAAAATTCAAGCCAAAGAGAGGAGAAAGAAACTTTGTTAAAATGAATCTGAGAGCGATTCAGTAAGTTAAACATCAAGAAAAAAACAACATATTTCATCCATTATGTTTTAATATGAATGTGGTGGACAAAGCTTGAAGAAGAAAGCCTGGGCTGACAATTAAAAAAAATTTTTTTTTTTGCAGTACACTAGTGTTGACAGTAGCAACGTGAGCTCTCTGGCACCTCCATCAAGCTCCTACACGTCATCGCAGCCTACAAACGTATCGCTCCACTCGGTGCACAGCGGCAGCAGCAACAGTAGCGGCAGCATCAGCCACCTGGCCAACATGCCCAGCCTGGGCAACAGTATGAGCAGCACGGTCGGAGGCATCACCGGCACAAGTGGACTCCACTCGGCTGCCACCATGGCCGCCAGCACAGCGCTGGGACTCTGCTCCAATGGAGCTACTGCCACGTCCAACCTCTCTGCACCAAGGACCACAGCCGTGCTCTCCTCCACCGGTACCCGAGACAGCAGCAACAGTAGCGTTATATTGAAGCCGTTTTATGTGGAGACAAACGATATTAAAAACCATTGTGTTGACAGGTAAAGCTCCTCCTAACCTGTCCCAGGGAGTGCCTCCTCTATTACCAAACCAGTATATCATGGGCCCTGGAGGGCTGCTGCCTGCTTACCCAGTAAGTAGACCATTAACAAGTACACCAATGTTCATTTTAATTAGTGAACACCCCAGCTTCAATTCCTATATGTAGCGTTTTCTGAGTTGATTCATCTAGTTATAGTTTCTCTTGTTCCAAAGAGTTTAACTAAAATAAAGTCGACCTAATGAATTTTATAAAAACTTAACTTAAACTTAAACTTAACTTAACTGAACACTGAACTGGTCACAAACAAATAAAGAACCTTGAATCCTTGAATATTTTTACATTAGCTGTGCTTTTATGTTTAAGTTTCAATTTAGGCACTTTCTTGTCACCAAAAACACTCGGACATTAAAAACTGCATGGTTAGTAATAATACTGACTAATGAACAGAATCAGTGCAAAAACCATAATTCTTTATGTTGGATCATTTATTAAATTACAGTCATTCCAAAACGAGACTCTGGACATGTTCTCTGAGAATACACTGCAATGACAAAAGCTGCACACTTTGTGAATCAGTCATCCAAGCATGTTCTTTAAGTATCTCTTTTTGGCTGATATTAAAAGCAAAACATAAACTTTAATTATTTGTCTTGTTGAATACCCCCCCCCACACACACTCGCCCCCAACACCAGAAGCTTAGCGTGAAACGCTGTGATTACATAACCAACTGTTTTTTCAAGGTGTTACCAAAACTTTAGGGAATGGGAGAGGTGAAGAGAAAATCTTATTCATTATTCTCTGTACAAGCTCGTACAGAAAGCTGTTAGCATCCTTGGACTTCTCTGTTGAAATGCTTACCTTTTGGTTTACAGCATTATGTACCATAATTGTTATTCGTAGCGTATTTCCAGTAAAACCTGAGCGTTTTGGCACTTAATAAAAAAGACTTGTTGAAATCTGAACGAGCTGCTCGGTGTAATGATAATGAAGAGTCTCTCACACGCTGAGTGCTGCCTTCAGGTGCCTTTCAGCTTCACTTAATTTACCGGCAGGATAATGTGATGATGGCATGGATATGAGTGTCTGCTAGTTAGAGCAAAATAAAAGGGTTTATGAACACTACAAATATAAACATAAACCATCTGAATGGGGATGTTAAACCATTGAAAATATCTCGGATCTCTACTTTTTGCTTTTGTTTTGTTTAAACCTACAGATTGTTGATGAACAGTCAGTATTTTTAACAGTATTTTTAGTTATTAAGAGATTGTACATACTTTTGTTTATGTAATATGTAACGGAGTATTTTTACTCTTCGTGTCCTACAGCAGATCTATGGCTATGAGGACCTCCATATGCTACAGTCCAGACTGCCAATTGTGAGTCACACAATGATGTTTTCAGCATCTTTTGTTTAATAATGAACTAAATGTTTTTAGATGCCTATAAGAAGCTATTTTTTACTTCAGTAGACAAGATGAGCTCAGTTTGAGTCTTGTTTTCCTGTGGACGCTCGAGCTAAATGCTGCTCTTGGTTTTTACGATCCTCTTGTTTCTCCAGCCTTCTTTGCAGGATTACTATGGAATCACGTTCCCCGGCCCCGCGGCAGCTCTGTCTGGCAGAGATGGGAGCCTCGCCAACAACCCCTATTCAGGTGAAGTCACAAAGTTTGGTAGGAACGACTCCACCTCTCCAGCACCCCCCACCAGCCTGGCTGCCCCACAGCCTCCCCAGGCGCAAAGCCAAGGACATACCCAGACTCAACCTCAGCCTCCTCAGGCCCAGCCTCAGGGGCAGCCGCAGCATCACAGCAGCCAGCAGGCCTTTCTGCCGCCAGGCTACAGCTACACAGGGCTGCCGTACTACCCCGGAGTGCCAGGCGCCGTGCCCAGCGCTGCCGCCTTCCAGTACGGCCCCGCCATGTTCGTTCCTCCTGGAGGCCCAGGACCAGCTTCAGCTAAGCAGCACAGTATGAGCCTGGGCCTGGGGAACCCCTCAGCCAGCCCCTTTCAGCAGCAGGCGCAGCAGCAGCCCAGCGGTTACGGCCAGCACGCCTTCAGCTCAGGTATACAGTCTGAGTTACAACCACTAGTTGGCATAAAAACTACATGTGGTTTAAAAGTTATTTACAAGATTTATTTAGCAGGATTTGTATGTAATGGTCAGTCTTTTGACTATTTCTAGGTTACGAGGAGCTGACAGCAGGGCCCGCTGGAGTGGAGTACAGCAAAGGCTACAACTCCTCTTCACAGGCACAAGCCAAGTCTGCTGCTGCCGGGCCTGGGAAAGGTACGACTGAACAGGCTTCATGATTGAGCTTTCATGGGATTCTAAGATGTAAAGTTAGTATTTTATATTTGCAGGGGTCTCAGTGACATCCAGTAACTCCGGTGTGCCAGACATCAGTGGAAGTGTTTACAACAAGACCCAGGTAGTCTCCTGAGCTGAACTTTACAACAAATCTGTTGTTTTGCTCTTTATACCAACATATAGTTTCTTCTCTGTCTTCAGTCTTTTGATAAGCAGGGTTTCCATGCAGGGACCCCCCCTCCCTTCAACCTGCCATCAGCGTTGGGGGGCCCAGGGCCTCTGAACCCCGGAGCAGCTCCTGGAGGCTATGCACCTGCCCCATTCCTCCACATCCTGTCTCACCAGCAACCACACTCGCAGCTGCTGCATCACCATCTAGCTCAGGATGGACAGGTGGTTCATTTCTAAATTCCTCTCAGCAGGTCATTAATGTTGGGCAGCAGTAAGACATAGCTGGAGAAATGCAGTGTGAATGCTTATTGCTGAAAAACAGCTGAAATTAGCTAAAAACATCCTGAAATGTAGCGGAAATGGAAGAACGAGCCTAAATTAGCAGAAGAAAGCAGAAAGAACACATATTTGCTGCATTAGATTTAAATTAGTAGAAGATGGCACAAAAGTTAGGAAATTAGCTAAAAAAAAAGCTTAAATTAGCAAAACAAAAATAGCTAAAAATTACCTGAAAGGGTGGAAAGAAGCTTAAACTACCAGAAGGAAGTGGAAAGGGCTGAAATGAGCTCCGAAAAGGTGGAATTAGCTGAAAAAGCTAAAATTAGCATAAAATCAAAATCTTAGCTGAAATATCAAATAAAGCCGAAACTAGCAGAAAAAAAGCTGAAAGCAGCATAATAAGCTTAAATGACCATAAAGAAGTTAATTAGGTTGAAAGTAGCAAAAATTACCATGGAAAAACTTGAATTTATCAGACAACAGCTGAAATGAGCTAAAGAAGCAGAAATGAGCTAAAAAAAAAAGTGGAAGTAATGTGAAAAAGATGAAATTAGCACAAATAAAAACCCAGCAGAAAAGTAGGCGTAAAGGCAAAAAGAAGCTTTAACGAAGAAAGTGGAAATGAGTGCAAAAAATGTTGAATTAGTTGAAAAGGCTAAAATTAAAGTAAAACATCTAAACATTTGCTGAAATAGCAGAATAAGGAGCAAAACAAGCTGAAATTAGCAGCAGAAAAAAATGTTATCGTTGGCAGAAAGATTCTGAAAGGAGCACAAAACAGCTGAAAGGAGCTGATTTATTTTTATTTTTTTTTGCACAAGGAAGCTGAACGTTTTGATATGATTTGTTGAACGAGCACAAAAGTTGTGGAAGGAGAAAGATGCTGAATAACGTACAACAGTAGTGTGACCGCTTCATGAACATTCACACAATGATGCTCTTGTGCCTTTGTTCAGGGTGGACCCAGCCAGCGCGGCCAGTCCAGCAGCCTGCAGCAGAAGAGCCAAGTCAACAAGTCGAGCTATGGCAGCTCCCCTTACTGGGCCAACTGAGACGGCAACGTCTGTGGCGTGTGTGCACATGAAACACACACACACACACCAGCAGGTCTCATGAGATCATAGAGGGACTGAACATTTTTACAACTCAAGCTAACACACACACTACCATCCCCTCCCCTTTGCTCTGTATATCTCCTTTTCAAATTTATGGCTGTTGTATGTAAAATATATTTATGTATTTATACAGTATATATGTATTGGTAGGACATAAAATGTGGTTTTCTGCATTGTTTTTATTTTGAAGGACTTTATTTTGAAAAAAAACAAAAAAAAAAGTGGAAAGATGAGAATGCCAAGTCATGCGAGATAAAGTTGGTGAATATACTTGAACACAAGCATCTTGTGATGTGGATTTTATTTTGTATGCATACATGAGAATGATGTACTCAACTTATACACATCATTTTCACGGCAAAGGCCTTTATTTTGGAAAAAAAAATGTTTTGTAACAGGTCACTCCGTCTGTGAATCCTTATACCGAGGGTGACGTTTTTATGTTGACTTCTGTTTCCTTCCATTTGTCTCTCGTTCCTGAATTATTCCTGGTTGGTTGGACCAACCACATTTTGATGTCATTTTAACCCTTGTTGTCCAAATTAAACGTTATCAAGTTTCTATGGATCTGGAATCAATCTTTACATTTATATTGCAACCTTTCATTCACATGTACTACAGTGAACGTCACGGCTCTGGAGTTTTTATTTAAATTTACCACACTTGCTGCCGTACACGTCGCACCACCGTATAAGTCACATCAGTCCAAAAATGTCTAATAAAGTGGAAAAAGTCGATTTGCCGTTTAAATCGCATCGATTATGCGTCACCGCTGACCAGGAAACGTGGGCCGTTGTTCCAAAAATCGATTGGCTGCCAAATGGCGACCGTGGAAGCGTGCACAGGACTTTTACAAGAATTTAACAACCAACTAAAAACTGCTCGAAATTATTGAAAGCGTCTCAGCCCAGGTTCTTTGAAAAAATGCACTCGACGGTCAAATCAGCTGCATTTAAAAAGCTGATTTGTGGCCGAGGGACGGCTCGCTGTGCGTTTCTTTAAAATTTAACAAGAGGACCACCTAAAAACAAATGTTTGCTCAACAGTGCACCCCAGTTGAACTGTTCCTTAATAAATGCACTTTAGTGGTCAACTCGGCTGCATTTCACCAGAGCACAGCAAACTGCAGCTGATTTCACGTTCGCTCCAGTTCCAGAGGTTTAGTATAGGACTCAATATTTTACCCATCTACAGCAAAAAATATTTACTTTTAGTAAGAACTGCTGACAAATGTTCAGACTAAACAAATGCAGCAAAAACTACATTTTTATGAAATTGTTTTGCAGCACGAAGTCATTTGTAAAGGAAACACTGGTCAACAAGCTTAGATTTATTAAAAAATAAAAGTATTTACACAAGGCATTTGGAGGGAAGTTGAAACAAATGTTCAAAACTTCTGCATCTTCCTCCAAGTTGTCCGGAGTACGACTCTGTACATTTCATTTTAAAACCTCGAGCACAACTCGAGCAGTTACTCTGGTAGTTTCTACATTGAAACACAGGACTTGCTTGAAACACTGATTACATGAAAAACAAGTTTACCCCGATTAGAACCAGATCAAACATCAGTTTATTAGACGAGAAGTTTAAGGATTGCAAAAACGTACAAACTTCTTATTTTAACTTTCAGCTGCGGATGCAACGACGAGGTTTATTTATAAGCACTTAATCCGCTTTAACGCAGTAAAATCAAGAATGTTTACTAGCTTTGGATAAATTCAAAATAAAACTGTACATAACATCCTGTTCTTCACCAATCTGCCGCCTCTTCTCAGACGCAGCTGGTTGTGGGGCTTCCTACGTTCTTTTTGGTTTCTTTTTCTTGGCCGGAGTAGCAGCTTCTTCTGCTACGATGTCATCGGTGCTTTCCTCTGCCTCAGATTTTCGTTTCTTTTTCTTCTTGGCTTTAGTGTCCTCTGCTTCGCTCTCCTCCTCCTCCCGATCCTCCACCTCCTCGGCTACTTGTTTCTTCTTTTTCTTCTTTCCTGCAGGAGCCTCAGCGTCTTCATTTACCACCTGTTATGACAAGAAATCAGTCAGGGGAGCGGTAGAAGAGCTCAACTTTCACTGATAATTTTGGGCAGCAGCTCTTTAAAAAAATGTCAGACTCTCTTCAGTGATCAGGACCACTAATGGGGCCAGCCAATGGTTCGGAGTTGAGATAATATTGCATGTGGTACACTGAGAAAGGACCATTAGAGTGGGTCAAGTCTCAAATCGACATGCTGGGCCTCACACACACACACAAAGAAAAAATTACCTCAGAGTCGCCGTTTGATTGAAGCTCTAGCAACTTCTTGTCACGCTTCTTGCGTTTCTTCTCCTTTTTCTCCAGTTTGCGTTTGAGCTCTGCCGTAACATCAGAAGCCTGAGACAGAAAAACAAAGGCACGATCAAACCCAGTATAGGACTATCGGATTTGTCTGTACAATCCAGGTTTGCTGCATCAGGCTCATTAAATCAGTTTCAACCCTCACTGTAATGTCAGGTGAACAGCTGTCATCACTTACAGCATTAAACCAGACATTACTGCTACATTTTAAAAACAGGTCATAGTCCTCTCACCTCTTTCACCGCCTCCTTCATGACGTCCACATTTTTCCGTGGTACCTCGCCGGTCTCGTAAAACGACAGCCGCTCCTCCACCTGATCGCGCAGCTTGTCACCGAACACACTGGTTGGCACCTCTGTAACGAAATAACGGCGCAATGAAGACGAGGCCAGCAGGGGCTCGCAGCATCACGTCTTCAAAAACACATGGGTGTGCTCAGGAATTAGCATCTCAACATCAACCCGAGGGATGAATACTGTTGACGAAAAATGTGAGCATCATTGCAGTTACGCCACATGCGACTAACGGCTCGTCAAACTAAACCAAAGTCCAGCTTCACGCACCTGAAAAACAGTCGATACGAGAGGCGATGGTGCACTTGTTCGCCAGATACCTGGAGATGCGCCCTTTGTTCTTGGCAGCCGCACGTCCGATAAAGGTCGAGTGGAAGATGAGGCCGTACTTGGGGGTGTTGCCTCGTGTCTTCAAGGCTCTGTGTGGAAACACAACCCGCTTTCACGCTCAGGATGAAAAGTCGTCGGTGCAAAACGTCAGCCAGATGTTTTAACGACCAGATTCAAGTGAACCTGTCGCCACAAACAAATGTTTCTGAAACGGTTTAAACTTTTTGACTCGTCAGGCGCGATGCTTTCAAAACAAGCTGATCAAGTATTTTCTACCTCTGTGCTGTGAGTGGATGCTCAGACTGTGGGGGTGCACCAGGAAAGGAGGGATCACTCTGGAGCAGACGCTACATTCGTCTTCTCCAGTCACCCTGCTTAGCTCCAGCCCCGCCCTGCCATCACTGCAACCACGTGTTTCCCCAGCAGGGAGGGGGTGCCCCAGTACCTGAACAGGGCCTTTTCTGCTCCCAGGATTTGAACCGTGGACGCTGGGTACTTGGCCAGGTTGGTTAAACTGCCAGCATGAGAGATCAGACGAGCTCCAACCTAAAGACGAGAGAATGCCAGTCTTTACTGAAAATAAACAGATTTAAAATGTTCATGCAAGTTCAGCTCAGACTCTAGGACCATCAGCACCATGGAGTTGTCATCTCAGGTTCAGTGGATTGACAGATTTTTGGTAAAACATCATTTTGATCCATAAAAACCACACACAAACTCGAGCTCACCACTTCTCCGATTAAAGCCGCCAGGTTTGGTGCCACCTGACTCATCTTGGAGCGCAGGTACTCCTGCAGCTCCAGCCGATAGGACGACAAAGACACGACGCGATTCGAGAACCTCTCTATGTTGATCAGGTCGATGGGAGAGATGTCCATACCTAAAAACAACAAAGACGCTGATCAGAAGAGGAACGCATACTTCAACCTGTTACACCGTCCGTGATGGGAGATTGTTTCTCTCGACAGGATCCGCAGCGAGGATTTGTGCCTTCACTACAGGTTTATGGGAGAGCTTCTCTACCCCCCTGTGTTAAACACCAAGGACAATTATTAATCCAGGGTGGGCAAAAAGGGGCACAAGGCTATTCATTTTAAGAAAGACACTGAAGGAATGATTCAAATGAAGCACAAAGCGGCTGCTAATGTTCATTCAGGAACAGCAGCGCCTGCTCTCTGGCTCAGACGGCAGTCTGCTCACCCATAGAGGAGCGAGACGCGTCCAAAATGGCCTGAGCCTTGGCACTGTCCATAACCACTTCTTCCAAGCTTTCCAGACTCTCCTCAGACAGCTCCTTCCTGTTGCCAATCAGCTGAGCCGTACGACAGTACATCGAGTTGTCCGACACTATTTTGATCAGCTCTGGAAAGTGGTACCCATACCACTCGCTGTAAACAAATACATTTATAGTCACTGTACGAAAACAGACAAATCAATAGCAAGTCAATGCACAACACAAACTGTCTCACCCAACAGTGTTGCACTACCAGACATTAGCTAGCACAGCGTAGGTGTTAGGAGAGGTCCATGTCCCTCCTGTTTCTATACAAACAGCACGCTGTGGTGCACTGTCTGTGGTAAGCATTAGGAGGATGCTCAAAAAACGTTTTATCCAACATAATGTTACACATAAGATTCCAGTGCTTCTTGCAATAAATTACATTTGTTAATTTTGTAATACGCTCCAACAATAAGTGCTGCAAACGACCCTACGGGGGGGAAGTCATCGAAACATTTTTCTTGTGGCTTCTGATCAGTATCTTACCGGACACGCATGGAGAAAGTGTTGATGTCTTTGTCGAGCTGGTCCAACAGAGCTATGGACTGGATGATCATGTTGTCGGCCCGGTTGACGTTAAACTTTACTTTAGCTCTGGAGTAGCTGTGACCAAGACCCAGCTGCGCCTTGGAGGCTGCATGGGCAGTCAGACCCTTCACCAGGGAGTGGAAGTGCAGACGGACGCCTGTCAGGATTAGAGACGGGTCAAGCGGGCTCGCCGGGCGGTTTGAGGCAAACGGACTATCAACTTTATCGTGGCTGTTCAGATTTTCAGTATGACCCTTCATGAGCTTCAGGCAATGCTTGGTCACATCACAACAGGCCGCAGACATAATGATCCAGCAATATGCAACTGTTACAGACACGTTTAATTATTAAAACGATTAAAGCACATCGTAGCCTCACCTCTGATTATTTCACTAATGACTCCACCAGTCTGTATAGAAACGTTAAACTCTTCTTGAAGAGCAGCTCCAATCTTTGCGTCAGAAACCCCCAAGACGGCCTTCTTCTTCCCAGACTGGGGGATGTTAGTTTCCAGGAACAACTTGAGATCAGCGTGGACCACACCTGCACACGAAGAAAACAAAACCACTCCCGATTTAAACATACAGTCCATATTCTTCAAATTCACATTAATCGTTCCTCAAACGTTCAGGGTTTACGTTAGGCTGTCATCACATTATCTCAGTGGATTGACAGAAAACAAACATCATTACTGCTGAGACTTTTTAATTCCTCAAAGAAAAAGCAAAGCACGTGCCTTCAGAAATGGCGTTCATGTTCTCCAGGGCAGCCTGGGCAGACTTGAAGGGGAAGAAGGCAGCCAGGCTCACCATGCTGTTGAACTTGCTGATGTTCAACACGCTCTCCTCCACCTGTCAAGACACCAGAGCCCATGAAGCTCTGCTGGGGCTGCAGCTTCAGGGGGACCAGGTGAGCAGACTCACCTGAGGCAGCAGCATGCTGATCTCCTCCACCTCTTTGACCGCGAACAGCGCGTAGCCCGCCGCGTGCTCGAACAACACGCGCAGCACTACCTGCACAAGGTAAACGGGATCACGGAGGAGATGAAATATGCTAATTCAACCAACTGCAGAGTTCTTCGTCGAAACTTTCCACACGGCGCGTGCTCAGCCTGCACGTGGTCGCCAGCGAGGCACGAAGTCAACTTAAAATTAGGGTGTGTTGCATCAAACTTGATACACTGCAATTAAATTTGATCATTGCGTGTCTTCAGGTAAGAAAACCTGTGCTTAATAGAAAATCGGAGTGCGGAACCACGTCGTCTTGATGAACCCACGTGCTGACTGGGCCCACACGCGCGTGCTGTAAGCTAACTAGGCTAACAGCTAAACTAAAACTCGTTTTTAATTTTTTTTTTTTTTACATTACACTGTTTTTACCAGCATGGCTCTAACTAATACAGCCACTAAAGTATATTGTCTGCAGCTGTATTAAACAACAAACTTTATATCCCCAACTAAAGTTAGCTACAGGAGGCTAACTGCTCCTCCGATGCTAAAGGCCTTTTGACTTGTCAAGTTTGTAACAATTTCTCCTCTTTAAACATCCTGAGTATAGAGAACATTCAACTGCATCGTCCAAACAAAATATTGCATATAAAGTTTAACAGGTAAGTGAACTTGGCTTACCATGTTTGTGAATCTCTGCAGCAGCGCGTCAGATGCGACTGCTCTCCTGCTACACCGAAGGAAAAAGACTGCAGCTTGACCACAACCCTGCGCGAGACCCTTCAAATATCGCGAGACCCTTTAAATATCGCGAGATTTGAAACCACGTCACGTTGAAAGTTGTTATCCCCTAAAATTAAATTCAGTTTATTTATATAGCGCCATGTCACACCAGGGCACTGAGCAGAAACATTCATATTTATATATGTATATAAAAAAAGTTAACACCATTTATCTGAGGACCAGACTGATCGCAGAACTTTCATTTTGAGCAAGCATGAAGGCAACAGTGGAAAGGAAAAACTTTCAACTTAGGTTGATGAGAGCTTCGTAGGTTAGAAGATTTTGAATTCAATTCTGACTTTGACAGGGAGCCAATGGAGAGAAGCTAAAACTGGAGACAAATATGGAAATAAACACGACCTAGCACATACATCATGGCTGCAAGGGAGGATAAATAGAATAGAATAGAATAGAATAGAATAGAATAGAATAGAATAGAAACAGCCTTTATTGTCCCACGGATGGGAAATTCCAGTGTATCAGCAGCAACAGATAAAAAGATAAAACGGTACAAAGTGAAATGAAACCATGATTGAATAATAAAGTAAACATGTGAAATATTAAAAAAGCAATAAAAGTACTCTTGTGGGGTTATATACAGATCTCATGTAAATCACAAGTTTTTTTTTAAATAATGTGCATTTATTTGTTTCTTTTTAAAATAATGATTAGCACAGTGTTTTTTACCTTTTTTGTAGCAGATCAATGTGTTGTCTCTCTATGATGAGCTGCATTTTCAGAAACAGCCTAGCTAAAATTTAAATGTATCAGAAATTCACTTACACTGGATGAATCTAAAACTTCCTTTTATGCACTGATTCTGTCAGCATTGACTTTTAACTTTTTAAAAATGTTATCTGATTTTATATATGATCACATTCTGGACACCTTTTGATATGAGTCACTGTTGTATTATATTGTGTGCAAGTAGCTGTAATGTCTGTGTACTTGTCTTAACTCTGGAGGTATTCTGTATGTTTTCTTACCTGCCACAGGGCCTGTAGATGTAAATTAGTGGTACACCTTCACTCATTGACCCTGGCTAACGAACAAATACAGAATAAAGAGTCTAAAAATTACCCAAACATTTTGGATTATTAATCCTGCACCTGATTTACACTTTAGCAAACCCCTAAAAATAATTGAAAAGTTGCACAATTACTAATTCATTACAAATCTTTGAAAACCCGAGACCTGTCTGATAAACCTTTTAATTAAACGGTTCTCTTTGATGCCAATAAAAACATTATTAGTTTTTTTATTCATTTTATAAGTAGATTTTTTTAGATAACTGATACATTTTATAGGTCAAATGTTTTGAAAACTAGTGGCAGCATATCAATTTGTGGAGTGGTGGCACAGAGGTTAGTGAAGATGAGCCTGTGATCGGAAAGTCACAGGTTCAACTCCCAGTACCGTCAACCTGCCTCCACCCTCATTGGCCCCACTCTGGGCCCATGAGCAAGGCCCTTAACCCCCACCATCTGCTCCCTAAACAGGTCTCTCTTGAAAATGAGTTCTCGTGATTCAATGAGACTAACCTGGATAAATAAAGGCTAAATAAAAAAATAAAAAAATGAACCAATGTGTGAGTGGTGTGTTTTTCTGTATACATCAGTTTTCTTCTATAAAGCCCAAAAGTAATTAGAGTCTTAATTTTGCTATAACCAACTCTTACTTTGAAGGGCTTTATTTTGAAAGTCCAGTTTATAACTTTAAAAATTATTAAAACCATAGCCTAAACATTTAAATCTGTAGTAATACGTATGAAGATTAGATGTTTTACAGTGTAGGAAATAGAACTATAATTTTAGAAAGATGTATTTTTTAGCTTAAGTATAATGGGAGTTTGCATTTTAAAAGAACTGTTAAGTTTGTTGATGTAAGAAGAAGTTGCTTGCACAAACTAGACACCTCAAAAGTTAGTGTCTCAAAATTATCACTCTCCTAAATTATCCAAAACAAGCAAACAAACAAACAAAAAACTGATTTGTCATTTTAGCAGAAATAGAATGTTTTTGAAGGTATTCACTATATGGAGAGACTATTTGTACAACACTGACTGTATAAATGCTAAGTGATGTAAAAATGTCCCAGGTGTGTCCCTGCGATGGTTTTACACAATAAGACGCACATATCTGTCTTCAAGTGCTTGAGTTGTCAAACAGAACAACTGAAATGCTTTTAATGGCCACTCCAGACGTTTGTTGTAGCAATGTTTCACAAAATCACCCATAAAAGCTCTTCAGAGTTCTGAAACTCCCGAGCAACAGATGTATGAGGGTCTGTATGTGCACAAACAGGCGTTATAAATGCCACTTTGTGTCAGATAAAACATGAGAAGAGAATTTATGGCCGGCCTGTGGACAGATTGTTTCCTGCCTGCCTCATTCAGAATAATACAAACCAAAGGAAACAGTTTTCCAGCACTTTGATATTGTCACCTGCCGCTAAAAGTGAAAAATTATATATTTTTTTTGTGTGTGCACATTTTTTTTGTTCATTTGTCTGTCTGTTAGAAAAATATCTAATAAACCACTGGATGGACTTTAATGAAACGCTCAGACAGTTATCACTGGGTGTGCTAATTAATCTTTGGAGCCAACACAGTTCAAGATGGCTGCCACAGCCAACTGATGATGAACGACACAAAGATGGCTCTAACAGCCAGTTTGACAAATACGGAGCAAAAATGTTGTCAAGGTTCTTTATTGTCATTCGCATCACGTGTGGTACATGTGGTGGAACGAAATTATGTACACAGGGTCCCAGTTACACCCAACAATAACATGTAAAAGAAAACTGTAATAAAGATCTAAGATATGAACTAAGAAATATGCTAAACACTTAATAGTGCAAAATAATACGCCGAACAACAGCAGCATGAACATGCGACATGAGTCTGTGTGAGCAGATGAGTACGAATGAACACAGCAACATGAAATAAATCACCGGCATGCGATCAGCAGCGTGGATAATCAGCAGCACTTATCAACAATCAAAGTAGCATTACAGGGATTTTTTTTTCACAGTGATAATCCTGATTAGGGATTTATGAGTCTAACAGCCTCTGGGTAGAAGCTGTTCCTCAGTCTAGTGGTTCTACACTTAATGCTCCTCAACCTCCTGCCCGAGGAGAGCGGGGCAAAAAGTGTGTGTGCTGGGTGAGTGGGGTCCTTCATGATGCAGGTGGTCCTCTTCCTGCATCTGGAGGTGTAGATGTCTGTGATGGTGTGGAGACTGACTCCAACATCTTTTGTGCAGCCTTCACCACTCTCTGCAAAGCTTTTCTTTCTGCAGCTGTGCAGCCTCCATGCCACACGTTGATGCTGGAGCACAGGATGCTCTCCACTGCACACCTGTAGAAGGAGGTGAGGACTGAGCTTCTCAGACCAGCTCGCCTCAGGAAGTAGAATCTCTGATGAGCTTTCTTGATCAGGCTGTTGGTGTTGTTTGTTGGTAGCTGAGACTTATCTAAAACTTATATTCTGAAAGCTACTGATCACATAATGTTTGTCTTAACATGTAGCCAGTACCTAATGGATCAAAATATCCTGATGCATGCTCAATAATCCAGGTAGAATTTTTTTTTTTTAAGTTAAGTCTGGTCCTCTGGACATTCAACTTTTTTTATTGTTTGTTTTGTTTTGTTTTTTAAATTCTACTTTTTTATTTTGAATTTTACTTTATTGTTTGTTTGTTTTGTTTTGCTTTTTTAATTCTACTGTTTTGTTTTTGAATCTACTTTTTTGTTTTGGTTTATGAATTCTATTTTTTTTGTTTTGTTTTGTTTTTTAATCTACTTTTTTGTTTTGTTTTGTTTTATTAAGCTACTTTTTTGTTTTGTTTTTTTAATTTTACTTTTTTTTTATCCTACTTTTTTAATCTACTTTTTTGTTTTGTTTTGTTTTTTTTAACCTACTTTTTTGTTTGTTAAGTTTTGTTTTTTTAATTCTACTATTTTGTTTTGTTTTTTGAATCAACTTTTTTATTTGTTTGTTTTGTTTTTTTAATTCTGCTTTTTTTGTTTTGTTTTGTTTTTTAATCTACTTTTTGTTGGTTATGTTTTGTTTTTTTAATTCTGCTTTTTTGTTTGTTTGTTTTGTTTTGTTTTTTGAATTCTACTTTTTTGTTTTGTTTTGGTTTTT